TATATATATATATATATACTCCAACACTGACCAGTATCTTTCAACAACTTTGGCTCTGACCTGAGTGAGGACTGGTCTTCATGCTGTCTCATGTTGATGTCGCCTTGGCTACTTGAAGGCATTACATTGGTCAGGTTAGGCRTCAACACTTAGCTCACCCACAAGTGGACTTTATTTTCATGTGGCATCTTAGCTAATGGTTGCATCTTCAAAGCAATGGGTGTAAATATTAAAAGATGAACCACTAATTATTTTAAAAGTAGTTTTTTTATGTATTGATCTGAAGGATTTTTGTCTATGTTTATTTCTTGATAATTCACTCAAATTCCTGGTTGTGTTGTAGGTGGGGTGAATAATTTTGCAATGTGCTATTCTGCATATTCAAAGCCGCATTGTCTACAAATCAGGGCTTGAAACCATTTTTAGAAAGGGCATGGATAAAATGTGCTCTTTGACTTCTTTTATAATGGTACAGTAAATGTGTTTCTGTTTGTACAGCCTTTATTTCTGCACAATGCCCATTCAACACTGACATCAAGAAAAACGCGTTTCAACCAATATACCCACATAGGCTTTTTCTAAGAACTTTATTCAAAAGATTGACAGTTTGGGTGGAGCTTCATCTAAATCTCAAATGCATTTAAAGGCTGAAACTTTGTGACACCAGATTATTTGGAAGATGGCACTCCAAAAGATTGTGGTTTTCATGCTCCTTCTGATATGCAAAGGTAAGGGACAAAAGCTGTTTAGGTACCTATTTTTTTCATTATTTTTTCTATTGCTTAATATAAATCACTGATGGGAAGATAATTGACAATTTCCAGCATATACAGTAACCATTGCATTCTGAATACATTTAACTAAATTCAACACATATGCCATATCACTTTTATATGCAATAAAATTATTCTGCTAAAGTTTTGTGTTTTCTTTTAATGCCTTATATATTTTTACATTTTAACTGAATATGATTTGACTGTATTCTAAAATTTATTTGGAATGTAACCTTCGGCACTAATTGCACGCAGGAAATTAGCCCATTTGTACGATTTTAATTAAGTGGCAGAAAAACATTAATGATCTTGAGCAATTAATGATTCAAAGATTTTAATAGGAAGTAGTGGTGTGTCAAGCTAAATGTATTTTCATGATTTATCAACAGAGCTTTGATTCCCTCTGTTAATTAGTGGATTTTGCATTTTCATATTCATGAAAGATTTTAGGCAACATATTTGAGGCAATGTATATCATTTTACAGTAACTACTGACCTCTAAAATTAAATGAGAGGAGAATGAATTATTTATATTATACTGTGTTTGCATTTTGTATCGGAAAAAAAAAACATTTACTGAAAATAGAGACAAGAAACAAATTATAGTATCACTTTCAATACGTTACTTCGATCCAGTACAGTTGGAAATTTAATATCAATGTTTAGATCGATCCACACACCCCTAATAGCATCAGTACAACACAAGCAATCACATGTCCTGAAACCATAAAATAGTCTCCAAAAACAAATTTGGGAGTCCACCTACGTAAGTTTTTTTTGTCTTGTCCCATTTTTTTGCCATGAAATGCATTTTGTTTTGCACTGTCTAGGAGTGCAGAAATTTTATTTAGTCTCTCACAGTGCAACTTTATGTTCTGTATTTTTTTTWAATTTGTTCAGTTTTCTCTTTTCCCTCGTACGGTTATTTTTGAAATTCGTACAATTTTTGAAATCTCACTGCCATTTTATATACATTCACATACCCTTTTTTTTTTACCAAGAACGTCACAGTAGTTACTGTGGAACTGCTAAAGAAATTACAAGAATGGCCAAATGAGGTGGAGTTGACAATAATCATTGTTAGTGAAATCTGGAGGGGGTGCGTGGTGTAATGTGCCTTGTTTGCATTTAAAGAAACAGCACCAAAACGCGTTGATCTGAGACCTCAGAAAAATGGTGAAAGAGGGGCTTGTGGAGTTACAACAAGGAGGAATTCAGACCAAAGCATTGCAGTTCCTTATTTAATCCCCAACCAAATGATTTAAATGTGAAAAAGAGGGATTTAAAAGCATATGTTCAATTTAAAGAAGAATATGTCAAAACTGTTCAAGCTGCTGGATCAAAATCCTCTCAGTGTAGTTAAATAAATTGTGGACTAGCTTGTGGTTTATCAAGTTTCTTGAACTGTGTTCAACAACATCACATTCCATTTTATTAGCTTGCAAATCATTGTTCAGGTGTGTGTTAACATGATTAATTTAACGTGACTTTTTCTTTCACTTTTCAGGTTGCTATTCACAGCAGCCAGGTAAGTATCTGGGACCAAACATACAAGTATGAGAGGCCCTTTAGGCCATAATTCAAACTTGCTCTCACACGTACTATCAAACCCTCTCACACATGTTTAGTTTTATCTTGTCAGATTTGCAGAACCGAAAGATTAGATTATACTGATAGCACATGCTGTGAAACAAACAATGCATTTTTCATTGACAGACCTGTGAACACAAACCTTTTTTCAGGATGAACATCGTGTACTCAAGCCAGCTAAAGCCTTTGTCATAAAAGTGACTTAAATATAAAAACATAAACTTTGAAAACTTTTTCACCTCTGCACTGGTCCATGATGATCATTTTTAGCATTATTTTCCAACTAATATTGTCAGAAAAGTTAAAATTGTGAACCTAATAGTTTTTTCAAGAAAACATTTTCAAACTTGTACATGCGTACAAGTTAATACATATCCCACATGTTTTTGATAGAAAAATATGGTCATTTTTCTTCATCTTATCAATGCATTAAATCTTTTTGAATGTGATTAATAGCAAAGAACTTAATCACATTTACCTGCATGAAAAGTCAATCAAATCCTTTATTTTAAAATGAGAAAAAAACATGTTGTTTAATGTTGTCGTGTCTCCTCATTTTTAGCTTTTTATCTTCTTGTTTTATGGCAGCATGTGGCAAAGCAACCGCCACTCGAATCATTGGAGGCACTGATGCAAAACCAGGGAGTTGGCCCTGGCAGATAGCTTTGAAGGAGTCTGATTTCTTCTTCTGTGGAGGATCGGTGATCACTAACGAATGGATTCTGACAGCTGCTCACTGCTTCCAGAAGTGAGGGGGGGACATTGTGTTTAAACTTCTTTTTTTGTGGGGTGGGTGGTGGTGGGGTTGCATAGCAGTGTGGAGAAACAACATATGCTGCGTTAGTCTGAGTTGGTCCAGAAGTTTGTGGACCTTGAATAGACATAAACCTTGTTAACTTCCCTATAGTCCACTCAGAACCATAATGACCCATGGCTTTTTAAACCAGAACAATTCTTTCACACTACAAATCAATGTCTGCTGCATTATTAAGTTCAAAATGTCTTCATATTATGGGGCACCATTTGAAGAGCAGCTTATGCTAAAAATAGCAGCAAAATATTGTCACATTTAACTTCAAACAATATTTTAAAAAGTAGTGTGGATTTTCTAGTCGCCTTTGTATCTATGGAGGACTTACTAAATAAATAAAAATAAAAGCAGAAATATAGAAGTTAAACAATAATAAAGACACTTAAAATGCACTAATTTGTTTAAAAATGTTTTAATCTTTATATTTAATTAAAGTTTTAGTTTTTTTTTTCTTTTACTTGTCATGCATTTGTGCCTCTTAAATGTTTTTATCAAACTTTTTTTTTCGAGAGAAGTCTTTATTTCCATTTATTGCTTTTACATTTTTATCTCTCCGGTTTTTACTTTACCTTATGCATCTTTGCCTTATTATGCAAATAAGGTGGGCTGTCCTACTTGGGTCAGTCCCCTTACCACAACTACTTTACACCTAGATCCTGCTCCTTTCTGTTTATTGGCCAATAGTACACAAATGCATCTACAAGTAAAAGGAAAAACAAAAGATATATAAAAAATTTAAAGTACGTGCTAAAATATACCATTTGTTGGATTTATTCTGGAAATATGAAGGTCAATTAAATTATAAAACATGACGTAAAGTTCTGTTTTTTTTAATTATTTGGTTCAGTCTAAGTGTAGTTATCTATTTATTGGGCCATTTATTTATTTCAGTTTTTAATTTTAATTTTGTCAGTTTCAGTCCTCCATATTTGGCACCCTTATATAATTAAATCTAAATAAATCTAAATGTTAATATTTAAATCTTAATGATAAACGTTAAATTTAAAAGTTTTGCTAAAACCAAGTTTTTGTGTAAATTCATACTGCCTCTTACTAAAAGTATTCAATTCAATTCAGTTTATTTGTATAGCGCCAAGTCACAACAATGTTTGATTCTGAATTTGACGGGGAGCCAGTGGAGAGAAGCTAAAATTGGAGAAATATGATCTCTCCTTCCAACTCTCATTAAAACTCTAGCAGCTGCATTTTGGATTAACTGAAGACTTCTTAAAGAGTTTTTTGGAGCCCAGATACTAAAGAATTACAGTAATCCAGTCTAGATGTGATAAATGCATTGATCAGTTTTTCTGCATCATTTTTAGACGTTTCTAATTTTAGTGATATTATGCAGATAGAAGAAGGCGGTCCTGGTAACATTTTTAATGTTGGGGTTAAAAGGCATATCTTGATCAAAAATACCACCAAGATTTTTTACATTAGAACTGGAGGCCAGATTAATGCCATCCAGAGAARGTGAAAGGCTGCAAAGTTGTCCTAAGATGTTCAGGTCCAAAAACCACAATCTCTGTCTTATCTGAGTGTAGAAGCAGAAAATTAAGAGTCATCCATGTTTTTTATGTCTTTAAGACATGCTTGTAGATTAAGTAACTGGTTGGATTCATCAGGTTTCATGGATAAATATAATTGAGTATCATCAGCATAACAATGGAAATTTATCCCATGCTGTTTAATAACTTAATAACTGCCTAATGGAAGCATGTATAAAGTAAAGATGATTTGTCCAAGCACTGAACCCTGAGGAACTCCATGACTAACTCTGGTGTAAAAAGAGGATCCATTTTTAACATTTAAAAACTGGAATCTGTCAGTTAAAAATGATTTAAACCATTTTAAAGTTGTTCAACTTCAAGCCTCTGTAATAGAATATTGTGATCAGTGGCATTAAATGTAGCTCTGTTAGTACCAAAATAAAAGTTTGACTATGTTTTTAGAAGAAAACATATTATGGAGAAACGTACTTGGTGTCTTGCTATATTATTGTGACACTAAAAATCAAGAAAAACATACTCATAAAAACATCGTAGAAGACATTATCATCTACATACATTTTTATGTTTTTATTTGGGTACTTTTAGTTACAGACAGTGTGAATTTACATATGAGCTAAATTTAATATTAAGATTTAACTATTCAAATGTGCTAAAAGGTGACCTTAGAAAATCCACACTACTTTTTGGAAACATTGGGCCTCATGCAAGAACATGTTCGGATTCTTACCCTAAATTTCTCTTACTTTTGTTCGTACAAAGGGTTCGTACGAACATGTCACGTCAGATTCAACAAACTCTTCTATCTTCAGGAAAAGTGTGTAAATGAGCTGCGTAAATTCCACCTGTTCGTATCCAGCTGCTCGTGCACGCGAGAGATTAGCATAATTACCACCCCAAAAACACCATATAAGGCTATGTTTCCTGCCTCAGATACAAGGAAGTATCCATTAATAAAAATGAGAGCAAAAAGTAAAAAGAAGAACTTTACGAGTTCAGAGATTGAAGTCCATCTGTCAGAGATCCAGAAAATAAAATCTGTCATTTTCAGCAGGTCAGCTGTTGAGCAAATAAAAGGAGCTGCTAAAAGTATAAACAACTTTGTTAATTCATTTTCATTTCAGAAGCCACACCGTCACACACTGTAACCCCACCCCCCGCGTGCGGTCGCAAGTGGTCTCAGTAGCGGTTCTGAAATAAGCATTTTAAAATGTTTTCGAAAAATGTCTGGCACTTTGGAGAAAATCTAGGACTTGCTGGAGGGATTATGTATCCCCTCTGGCCTGGGAACATCTCGGAGTCCCCCAGGACGAGCTGGAAAGTGTCGCTGGGGAGAGGGATGTCTGTCTGGGTCTCTCTGCTGCTACCCCCGTGACCCGATCCCTGATAAGCGGCAGAAAACGGACAGAGGGACAGTTTTTATTGTTATTCTGAATTATTACATTTAAAATTACTGACTGCTCGTAAAATATATGACAGGTCTGGACCACTCGTGAATTTTGTTCGTATCTGAAAAAAAATTTAGAATACGAAAACATTGGTGAATGCCACAAATTCTCCTAAACCACTCGTACACACAACTTAAGAACAAATCTGTGCGTACGAACGGTTCTTGCATGAGGCCCATTGTTTCAAGAAAATAGTGTGACAAATTTTTGCTGTCAATTTCATGAAGAAAGCATKAAGTGATTTTATTAGTCTATTTATTTATTTACTGATATTTAACCATTAATCTGACAACAATTACGTTTTTCAACATCTTTTGAAATTAACTAATGAACATTTTACAAGTTTGAAGGCATGTAGATACAGATGTGAGAAGCACACTATCAATTCTAGAAAACAAACTACTATTTCTATTTTTGTGTCATCCAGTTATGATCTCAGCAAGATTACAGTCCATCTGGGTGTGAACAACCTGACAGGACCCAACCCTAATGAAGTCATTCGAATGATTAGTCAAGTCGTTGTTCACCCTGCGTACAACAATGTCAACTTTGACAATGACATGTGTCTTCTGAAGCTGTCGGCTCCCGTGAACTTTACAAAATCCATCAGTCCTGTCTGCTTAGCCTCACAAGGCAGCACTTTCTATAGCGGACTTAGCATCTGGGTCACAGGTTTTGGTGTGACTAGTAAGTTAAAAGCATATTTAAACTAATAATACTACTTTTGAATTGCACGTTAACACTCTCTTTCTCTCTTTTTATTCAACTAGGCACTGGATCAATATCTAACACCCTGCAAGAACTAAATGTGCCGATCGTGGGAAACAATGAGTGCACATGCTACTTACAGGACTTTTCTGGAATCACAGGGAACATGATGTGTGCTGGAGATTTAGCTGGAGGAAAGGACTCATGTCAGGTGAAAATGACTTTCTGTCTGGTTGCTTTGTAATATATTTTAACTGTCAAAAAAAAGAAAATGGTTGTGAGAAAAACAGTGCTACTTTCTGTACTTTTTATTCTGAATGAAAAAACTGGAGTTAGAAAAACTGCAGCCTGATTACTACTGAGTTTTTTTTTTTTTTTGATATATTTATTTTCAACCAGAGATTCAGCTCAGACATGCACACTTGTGTGGTTGGAATTTAGATTTTAAATAACACCTCCAACATTGGTAGCGGCTACCAGCAGCCATTGTTAACATTTGTTGCAGGATCATGACATCATACAAAACTGGCCCAAAAATTACCACAAATATCTTGTTGTGTGAACCCAACATTTTATGCTGCACTGTGTATAAGATTTTGTCTTATAATTGGTCAGAACTGTTGGCAGCAAGCAAATCATGAGTTCATTTGTTTTTAATTGTATTTGATAATTTTGACTTCAAATAGATAATTTTAGACAACCTTAAAACTGTTATTTCCCCTCACAGGGAGACTCAGGRGGACCACTGGTGGCACTATTAGATAATACATGGGTCCAGGCTGGAGTTGTAAGCTTTGGTGATCGCTGTGCCCTCCCACTGAGACCTGGAGTCTATGCTAGAGTGTCCGAGTACCAGGACTGGATCAGTGCCACGGTGGTCTCTGGAATGAGACCAGGCTTTGTTACCTACAATTCTACAGGATTCGACGTGGACTCAATCTTCATGTGCCCTACCGCTTTACCTACCATTCCCCCAACCACCACTGATGGTAGTATTTTTGGCAGTGGTGAAAACCTGAAGCACTTCACTCACCTAACCGCGCTCTTTATTCTTGTTCCAGTTCTTCATGTCTTAGTTGGGGGTGGTGAAATGTAAATGTTGCAGAGTAATTTAAGAAATGCTCGCATGAAGAATTAGACTCACAACAATGAAGATTTTCTATTTTTCTTGGAACAAATTACCTSTAGATCAATTCTATACCCATTATAATTTTGATTAGTATTGCAGATTTGATATTAAATTTAGTGAACCWGATTTGTCAAAAAAAAAGTTCTTTAAATCAAAGTACTTTCATATTTTTTCTTGTAAGGGAGATTTGGTTTTTAGTTATTAATGACTATTAAAATTCATTAAAGAATCCTTTCTTAATAACACYGATTTGTATTTTTTTATATTTGCTATTTGCATGAAACACAACAAGCTTGGTTTGTTTCGGGGAACATTAAAGCACCACATCAAACTTATTCATAAGCATCTACATATCTATAAGGCAATTTGCGTTTGGTAGATTTATCTTTGTTGTAGCAATTCTTCTTGGCAATAAATCTTATAGTGGGCACGTGATTGACAGCACCTGGGGGTACCTAAAGCTCAAAGGAAGAGTCAATTCCAACAAAATAAGCTGTTTGACAGAGACGTTTTGGCAAATTTTCATGTGTGCAACCCATATACTGCTCATAAATGCACATTTCTTACAAATGTGGCATCATTCAAAAAAAGTGATGATCAGTGATGGTGGCAGAAGTTTTTACTTTACTTGTCACAATTGTTTGACAAGATCAATATCCTGGGTATACATTCTGACTCCCAATGATTCGTCTGTTAAGTGCTGTTTTGCCTTATTCTGACATAAGAAAACAAAGCCAAAATATTTAAATATATAAAAATCAAGTGTTCAAATCAAATGTCAGAAGTTTTGAAATATCACAGTTTTTGTTTACACGTACAGATAAAATCTGGTAAAATGCTCTTAGAAATCTTAGATTAATAATTTTAATGTAGGGGTGTCCCAATACCAGTTTTTTCTCAAAATAGTATGAGTAAGTATTCAGTTTAGGTATTTGCTAATACCAAATGAATCATTGCACAATGACTTTAAAAACACATTTATTGTGAGTGCGAAGCAGCCGGGATGAGGCTCAGTGCCTCCAAATCCGAGGCCATGGTCTTGAGCCGGAAAAGGGTAGAGTGCTTCTCTGGGTCAGTGGGGTCGTCCTGCCTCAAGTGGAGGAGTTTAAGTATCTGGGGATCTTGTTCATGAATGGGGGAAGAAGGGAGCGGGAGATCGACAGGCGGATTGGTGCAGCGTCTGCTGTAAAGCGGGCGCTGTACCGGTCCATCGTGGTGAAGAGAGAGCTGAGTCAGAAAGCGAAGCTCTCGATTTACCGGTCGATCTACGTTCCTACACTCATCTATGGTCATGAGCTTTGGGTCATGACCGAAAGAACGAGGTCCCGGATACAAGCRGCYGAAATGGGTTTCCTCCGCAGGGTGTCTGGGCTCTCCCTTAGAGATAGGGTGAGAAGCTCGGTCATCCGGGAGGGACTCAGAGTAGAGCCGCTGCTCCTCCACGTCGAGAGGAGCCAGTTGAGGTGGCTCGGGCATCTGGTAAGGATGCCTCCTGGACGCCTCCCTGGTGAGGTATTCCGGGCACGTCCCACCGGGAGGAGGCCCCGAGGAAGACCCAGGACACGCTGGAGGGACTATGTCTCTCGGCTGGCCTGGGAACGCCTTGGAGTTCCCCCGGAGGAGCTGGAAGAAGTGGCTGGGGAGAGGGAGGTCTGGGCCTCCCTTCTGAATCTGCTGCCCCCGCGACCCGACCCCGGATAGGCGGAAGAAAATGGATGGATGGATGGAGCTGTTTTGTCAAGGAGTTGGTGCAACCCGCCGAGGTGCAAGGCTCAACTCTACAGGTGTACGGAATTCATTACTACACCAGCGATCTCAGTAAAAGCATCGAGATCCAATAAGTGTTTAAAGACATGTTTCAACTAATCCATTAGTCTCAGAAAACACATTTTTGCCATGGATGACCTTATTTCTCCAAAATTTGGTCCAAGAAAGTTTATCTTAAATAGTTTCAAGCCAAGGATAAAGCTACCGGAACCGGAAGCACCACCATTTTAAGTAAGGGAAATGTGTCCCTAAACGGAAGCAAAGTAAGACTCTAGTCGTCAACACAAATTATTGCACCATCTAGTTGTCAAATTAAATCCTTACTCCCATTTTCTCAGTCAAAACAACTAGAAAATGATTCAAAAACACACAAATTTCACTTTTAAACAAAAATTCTAACATTAATAACACATTAAACTCTTCTAAATAAATGGTTTAATTCTGAAACAAGTATTTCTATATTAAACAGGTTCAACCCTTTTTGCAGGAATTCTTCTGTTGAATGAACACTGCTTGTTGTAAAGGAGYTTAATAAGAGCTTAAATTTAATAGCAGTCGTGCTGCAAACACTCTGTGAAAGGTTTGTGCTTAAAGTTAGGCAATTTTTATCAAACTGAAAAGTAATTTATTTAATAGTTTGACTCTGTTGAAAGATTTTAATCCTAAGTATAGAAAAACATCCAAAAATTAACAAGATTAACTATTCAAAGCCATATTTTGTAAAAACAAATAAGGCAAACACCTAACACAGGTGACACAATTTAAAGCAGTAACAACGTACTGACTTTTAAACTAAAATACAGTTTCTAACCCAAGTAGAGCTGTAAACAAAATAGATTTAAACCACCATCAAAATATTTTACAAAGGTAAAATAAAGATAACATTCATAAATAAAAGAAGAAAACAACAAATATTAAAGCAAACAGGCTATATTGCAATCTCACTAACATTTCTGCATTAAATTCAATTCTTTTATTTAGCTATTTAATTGTTTAACATGACTTAGCCGGTTTTAAAAGTATGTGTTTTGTAATAAGCTTTAATTAAACAGGTAAAGCAACGAGGCTTCCTGATAACTGAAAAACTGTTTACAGGCAATATTTAACAAATCAAAAGCTATTTTTATTTCTCAATTGACTACTATTAAAAGGATAATACATTTAATTGCAAAAATGGATTCAGACACATATTCAAACATGTCGTCTAGTCCTGAAACAGAGGAATGCCTCTAAAAACACACTTGCGACAGTTATGGCAGAACTGTCCAAAAC